CTAACGGAAGTCACATCTCATGGCCGAGCCCCCCCCCCCCCCTTCCAAACTCAGAGCCCACTGACTCAAGGAGGAGGTGCTGCTGCATCCTTGCAGAACCTCAGCTGCTATGGAGCTGAACTGTTAGGAGGTGCTTAAGAGATGGTGTGATACTGTGATCTTTTGGCTCCTTATGCATCTCCTGTGGGCCTTCTCAAGTCTGTTGGCACTGCTACTGCTTTGCCTTAAGGACCAGGGACACAGCATACGTGTTCGATACCTGTTCAGTCCAGCACTTCTGCAGTTGTTCTGTTGATACTGAGCCACTCTAAACGGTGCCCTTTTTGCTTTCCTATGTCTAGGTGAGTTACCACAGGCAAGACACTTCACCTTCACCTTCTGTCCTGGCTTACATTTGTGAAAAGAGAACAGTAACGTTGACTTTCTTATGCAAAATGCTCTGTTGACAAGAAAAGCTGGACAATTGATCAATACCGTTCTGCACATTTTTGTGGCTTATCTTTGTTTCCTTGTTAAATGTAAATTGTGCAGTCAGTCCAGCACAGAGGGTAAGGAGTGGGACCTTGTACCATTCACCTGGCTAAGTTTGTGATGGTTGCGCTCTTCATTGTTTCCTTACCGGTTAATTTACGAGAGGGAAGAGAGGTCCCTTGGCCATTGTCTAATAATGTTCGCAGGGGAGTTGCCCTCTTAAAAGCCAAGAAGCAGTAAGGCCTGTATGTACAGCCAGCTCCTACAACTGATGGATTGTAACTGGAGGAGGAAGAGGCAAGAAAGGGACTGGTGAGGAACGTACCGGCTGTCCTGCTCCCTGCTGTCAGTGGAGTCAGGTGGTGCCTTGTGCAGTGGGCTGCCGCTAACAGGTTCACCTGACTCCTCCTGGGGATATTTTCATTCCCCACTGACAATGAAGGGAGGAGACCTGGACAGTGCTCCTGCACTAGTATGGGAGGCAGATGAGTAGGTGCTGGAACTTCTTGGCAGAGAGAATGTGATGGAGCCCTAACGAGTACCCCGCAAAATATGTACCAGAAGATTGGAAAGTAAGCTTTAGAGGTCTGTTATGGTGATGAGAGGGAGATGACCTTTCCACCTCTGTTCCTAGGCTGCATGAGGAAATAGTTGCACTTATTGTATTGTACAAGAGTTCTTTTCAGATTCCTCTGGGCCTCAGCTAAGTTGGGATAAGGTTATGTGAGAATAGCAATAGGCAGTTTGAGCTTTGGGAGATACTGCTGCAGACTAATGCTAAAAAGCACTAAATAAATTTTCATCAAACAGCATATCCTGATAGTGCATGGGGGAGAGAGAGAATGTCCTTATCTTCTGACTGGTGGTGGAGAAGAAACCCTAAAAAGGGTGTGGAGTTATTAGCCAGGAGGTCCAAGCCCAAGAAGTAATGCTGACCAGATTTCCCCTTGTGTGGGCCTCAGGAGGCCATAGCTTCATATAAGCCACAAGATGACAGAAGGCTTTTCAAAACTGGGTGGCTTTTTTTTTGGATGGTTTGGCCAGGCTGTGGGCTGGCCACAGCAAGCTACCTTTATGAACTTGGTTACGAATAAACATCCATACTCTGGCCTGAGTAAGGCCAAACCCCAAAGCACTGACACTTGTAGCCCTGCATCTGAACAGAGGGCCGTGTGATGCAGCCCGTGATTTAACCATCAGCCCAGCTAACACGAACAGTGTCAAGGAACCAGGGGAGGTGAATCGGAGCGAGCTGGCAAGATGCAGAGTGTTTTGCTGTGCTGCCTGCTGACAGTTTTACTTTATTCAGCACGATGTCATCTGAGTGCATAGTTAGCAGCTCTGTTCAGCTAGAGTTAAAAGACTGCACTGCAGCCAAGCTTGAAAGGTTTAGGAACCGTTCATGAGAGTGGCCCCGCTAGCCTGTGAATGATACGTCCACACATCATTTATGTTGCTGACATGCCTAGAAAGCCTGGGCATAGTCTGGGATGGAGAGGTGCTGGGTGCTTTCTCCTCAGCAAGAATGGGAACCTACGTGGACCAATAATTTGTATTTATATTCAGTTTTGCAGCCTCCTGGCTGCCTGCTGTTGATGTTTGACTTTCAATTATCCTGCTACATTATTGCCCAACTAATCTCTCTCCAGTGACATGGGGAAGTTGTGTTCCCATTTTACAGGTGTCAGTTGATCTACCTAGAGTAAATAAAAAGAATTGTTGTCAGAGCTGAGATTGAAACCCAGTAATTACTTCTGGATTGCTGCTTCTCACCTTCTCCTACCATTTACAAACTCAAGCAGAAAGTCAAAGGATTTTTTCTTTTTGCTTCTCAGAGGAGTGAGAACAAAGTACATTAACTGAATTGGCACATGATAGCATTGCACTTTGTTTTCTGTTGCCACGTCACTTTTCTGCTTGGAATTTAGCCTGCCCTGAGATTCCTTCTGCTTCCTTTTTGCCTATGTATGTACTGACATCAGCTTGTTCAGAGAGAGCAACTTGTGCTTTGCAAATACATTTGTTTAAATTAATTTCTGCAGCTGATTTAAACCAGCCTGGACTGAAGACTTGAGTATGTTGTTTAACTTAGATCCCTTTCCTTTTTCTGAAACTCTCCTGTAATTGGAGTATATGAAAGAGAGAGCTATATTTGAAAGAAAATCTAGGGTCAGACAGCTGTGATTGTGGGTTTTTTTTTAATGAATTCTAAGATACCCTAATTCATTTCAGTAAAACTGTATTCACTACCTCAGGAAGTAGCAAGTAACTTCTCTCTATTGAGAGCAATTTGTTCTCGTGGTATCTTGGTAAGGGGGATATTTTGTTACTGATGTGATTAGTTTCATGTTGACTTTATCTGGCTATTCTAACCACTGTGTGAAATTTCTTCTAGAGCCTAGGAAATGAAGCTAAAGGAAATTGAGCGAACAGCTGTCCAGGCATGGAGTCCAGCAAACAACCACCCCATTTATCTAGCAACAGGTAAAGTTCTTCACAATTCATGAATATTAAAGTGTGAGTCACAGAGAGATTTTATGTAGAGTTGTATTGGTTTTAACTTTCAACAATTCCCACCTTCGTAATCTGGAAAACTTACAAGCAATATACCAAAAATATTACAGCCTTTATTTTTTTTAAAGTGACCGATAGAGGATTACTTTTATGTCCAACTTTGACACCTTTAAGGCCAATGATTTTTCAAAGGGTGAATACATGGCTTTTTTGATCTAACTTCTAATTAAGTCTGTATGAACTCCAACACCTGCTTGCTATTAAAAATAAAACAAAATGAGGTTACATAGTTGGTATGTCTGTGGGAAAAAAGAAGTTCATTCTAGTCATGTTCATTTAAGCTCACTTCTACTTTTGTTGGTCTCAGCCATTATCACGTGGCTTGACAATCAAATAATAGAAACCTCTTCTCCCTAATGTTGCCTGTTTTGGTTAACATTCAATTTTCAATACTTCTGCAAAACCCTGAATTTGCATTTTGTTGATATTATTCATTATTCACTATTGTTATAGTAATTTTATTTCCTGAAGCACAAAGTCAGCCTGTTCACTGAGTTGGCAGTAGGTGAGTTTAGTGTCTGTGTAGAATTGACAGCTTGGGTTGTTGTATTGGCTTTGCGTGGCAAGGTTTTGGTAGTGAGAGAGCTACAGAGGTGGCTTCTCTGAAAAGCTGCTAGAAGCTTCCCCTGTGTCTGATAAAGCCAATGCCAGCTGGCTCCAAAATGGACCTGCCGCTGTCCAAGGCCGAGCCCATCAGCGGCGGTGGTAGCTCCTCTGTGATAACATAGCTAAGAAAGGGGAAGAAAAAAAAACCTGCATGACAGCAACTGCAGCCAGAGAGAGGAGTGAGAATATGTGAGAGGAACAGCTCTGCAGGCAGCAAGGTCAGTGAAGAAGGAGGGGGAGGAGGTGCTCCAGGTGCCGGAGCAGAGATTCCCCTGCAGTCTGTGATGAAGAGCATGGTGAGGCAGGCTGTCCCCCTGCAGCCCATGGAGGACCCCACGCCACAGCAGGTGGATACCCAAAGGAGGCTTTGACCCCGTGGGGAGCCTGTGCTGGAGCAGGCTTCTGGCAGGACTTGTGACCCCACAGGAGACCCACACTGGAGTAGTCGGTTCCTGGGGGACTGCAGCCCATGGAAGGGGCCTGTGCTGGAGCAGTTCATGAATAACTGCAGCTCGTGGGAAGGACTCACATTGGAGAAGTTTGTGGAGGACTGTCTCCCATGGGAGGGACCCCACACTGCAGCAGGGGAAGAGTGTGAGGAGTCCTCCCCCTGAGGAGGAAGGAGTGGCAGAAACAATGTGTGATGAACTGACCGCAACCCCCATTTCCTGTCCCCCTGCGCCACTGGGAGGAAGGAGGTAGAGAAATTGGGAGTAAAGTTAAGCCCGGGAAGAAGGGAGGGGTCGGGGAAGGTGTTTTAAGATTTAGTTTTTATTTTCTCATTATTCTACTCTGATTTTTGATTGGTAATAAATTAAATTAATTTCCCCAAGTTGAGTCTGTTTTGCCCATGATGATAATTGCTGAGTGATCTCCCTGTCCTTATCTTGACCCATGAGCCTTTTGTTATATGTTTCTTTCCCCTGTCCAGCTGAGGAGGGGAGTGATAGAGCAGTTTTGGTGGGCACCTGGTGTCCAGCCAGAGTCAACCCATGACAGTTGTCTGCCCAACATGAGAACTAGTCAGCTCTGTCTCCTGCCTGGCCTGTGCAGCCCTGCCACGTTGTTTTGACTTTTTTACAGGGATGACTGTCAAAAGAAAGTGATGAAAGTTAACTGTTGCCTTAAAAGCAACATTACCCTTTTTGGGGTAGATAGTCTATTTTGTGTTTCTCTAATAAGACCAGAGTTTTGGTTGGACCAAAGGTCTTGGCTTCAATCTGCTTTAGATCAGAAACTGCATAGTTTCATAATTTGTACTGCTTTTTAATAGCCTCTTGGGCACTTTCTATGCCATAGGCAGTTACAAAGCATCCCTGTGGTAACTGGGTGACTATTTGCCTGGCAGTGTCCCATTAAGCAATATTAAATAAATTTTTAGCTTTTATTCTGTAAGCTAGGGAGAAGGAAGAAAGCCACCACTGTGTGACTGCTAGCTGTCTCTGGGTCGTTGGGATGTGCTTAGTTGGCTAAGGTTGAAGAACTTTAGCTGTAGGCTAGATTTAGAAGGAGCAGTATACAGAAGTATTTGGGATCATAATTGTAGCTGGGTTTCATGATGTGACTGCATTTGTAATTTAGATAAGGACTTAATATCAGAAGCTGTAGCTGCTTGGAAGAGGGTATATGAATTATATCTACCCCAGGACAGAAAGTTATTTGTGCAACAGTGACCCTGGTGCCCAGAATTTCTTGAAGAAGTTCTCACTTCTTTCAAAGTCTTTGTCATAATCATAATTGTTAGTTCCTCTTTCTGATGTGTTCAGACATACCCTCTCTTTGAATGGGCACACCACCAAGGTTGTGTTGACTATGAAGAATGGGTTTCCAGTGCCTTGCTCTTTTTGTATCTTGTGCTCTTGAAAAAAGTGCCCACTTGTGTTGCCCTTGTACTTCTGCTAGGAACATCTGCCCAGCAACTGGATGCATCCTTCAGTACAAATGCCACCTTGGAAATATTTGAGGTTGACTTCAGGGATCCCTCCCTGGACATGAAGCAGAAAGGAACGCTTCCTGCCTCAAACAGGTACTAGAGGCTCATACTGATGTATCGATCAGCGGAACTGAAAAGGGCTTTTCTGGTACAAGAAAGGAGAGGAGGAGATCATGTTTTCAGGGTATAAAGTGATCTTTTGGATCAGTTGACCTCTGTGTTCAAGAATTGAACATTTTTGTCGACACAAATTATGTTAGGTGTAAAAGTAGAGCAGTTGGACCATTGGAGAAATCTGAAAGGACTTATATGGTAGTCAGTCAGTAGAGTCATTCTGTATCATGTGAATTTGCTGGGGCTAATGATTTGCAATAAGGAGACTAGAGGCAGAGTGAAACTTATCTTCCAGCTTTTTAAGACAAGGTGATTTCTTAGGCTCATCAACGTGGGTGACATTTGCACCCAGTGTAAAACACAGCCTTGATTTCTAACTAGCAGATTTTAAAGGGGGTAAACATTTTTCGGGTAACAGCTCTGGAAAGGAAGGCATATAGTCCTCTAAGCTCATTTTCTATATAGTGTACATTAGAGGATTTCACCCACCAAATCCCGTATGAGGTCCTAAATGTTTTAAACAAACAAAACAAAAGAAACCCCCTCTTCCCTGAAAAAAAAAAAAAAAGGAGAGACAAGCTCTTCTTTGTAAGTTGCCTTTAAAAGTCTTTGGAAGGAAGCTCATTTCTTCTTTTGCATGCAAGAGCCACAGACCTGTTAAAAGGGAAATGGTTATTTAAGGTGCAGACTGACGCTTATGTTTGATGATAGGTCAGAACATGGATGTGGTTTTTGATAATGCAGAGGGTGTTTTGACTTCCACCAAATATTGTGGCCTACGCCAGCTTTATTTTCTTCTTTTTTAGGTTTCATAAGCTGATCTGGGGTAACTTTGGAAATGGGTCTCCAGAGTCCTCCGGAGTGATCATTGGTGGAGGGGATAATGGTGTACTGACAATGTACAGTGTGCACCGCATCTTGGCTTCAAAGAGCGAGCCTGTAATTGGGCAGACAGAGAAGCATTCAGGTCCTGTTCGAGCTCTTGACTTCAACCCTTTCCAGGTATGCAACATTAAGATACTTATAACCAAAGGAAAGTTAACCTCCATGTTAAAAAAAATAATCTGTTTTTCCCTCGTGTATAGAGATTTATAAACTGAAAGAACAGTGTTTAACTTGAAAGAGGCATGGTAGGTGTGACACAAGGCTGGTTTGGGACTCAGATTTGGGTTCTGTTACAGCTTTGCCACTGAATTCCCTTGTGACCTTGATCAAGTCTCTTAGCTCTCTGTAAAAACGTGTCTTGTAATACCGTTACATGTTAGACCATTACCCATTTGAAATCAGTACTTCTTTTTTTTTTATTTGATCAGTTGGTGTCTAATTCAGTGGAGCTCTGATCACACTTGAAGGGACTGCAACATAAGCAAGTAGTGAACAGCATACAAGTTCTTGTGGTAGCACAAAGGCAAATTGAAAGTTGTCTGCAGACCCTTGTGGGAAGCCTGCATCTTCTCAGAAGAAATGTCCTTGGCAGAGTTTCATGATAAGTAACAGCAGCCACCTGCACATGTAGCTTGCTAAACAAATTTTAAACAGGTCTGTACCATGGCACAGCTGGAGGGCACAGAGGCCAGAGAAGTGCTTGTTTATAATCCAGTTAGTATCTTTCTGCTTACCACTGGCTGTGAAATGCAGCTGCCACCTGACTTTGGAAGATTTTGGTTTTTTTTGCTTGTGTTTATTCCCTGTGAGCAGGAACCTCAGCTGAGCTTTTCTTTTTTCTACAGAGTAACCTTTTGGCTTCTGGAGCCAATGATTCTGAAATTTTCATCTGGGACTTGAATAACTTCAGTGTGCCTATGACTCCAGGGGCTAAATCACAGGTAAACGAGTTTTCCTCTGTGCAATACCGCTGCAGTTTTGTATTTCAGTAGAAAAGGCAAAAAGATGTGGATGTGTGGAGTCATCCCGGTCTAGTCAGTCTGTGAAGGGGGAATGACCTTGATGTCTGTCAGGAGACAGATGAATAGAAGTGACTGATCGGCTTCATTCTGGGGAGGTGGAAAGAGGGTTAAAGGGAGGGGAGGTAGGCTGACAAGCTCTGGAAGGATGCACGTTGCATGGATGGGTAAGCTTTTTGTGGATTTGAATCAAGTAACTGACCAGTTTATCTTGTGATCCAGCTGAGGCATGTGTGATGGATTAAGAAGGTTAAGGACCTTCTCTGAGGAATGAATTTATTTCAGGCTTCAGCTGAAGCTTTTCATATCTCATGAAAGTAATATCCCTAGCAGAGCCAGTGAGCCATTTAATGCATCTTGGCTATTACTCCCAGATAATGTTTCCTGAGTTTGAAGAGGAAGAAGCTTCTGATCTTCTGGTGCTGATTATGTTATTCAGGACAATCAACTCCTGAAAGTGGAAAAAACATAGTAAACTTGCCTAAAAGCAGGCCAAATTTTTCCTCCAATAAGCCTCCCATTTGTTTCCTTGCCTATCTCTTGCATTGAGATAGATACAGTAATGACAATTAGCCTTGAATGCTTCATCTTTTTCCATCTCACTGCACTCCTGAAATGTTGCACAAGGTCATGTTTCCATTTAAGTTCACCTCAGGAGTCAGGGTAGAAGCATCTATGTTCTCTCAGCTGCAGTTCTGTCTGGACTGATTTATAACACATTTGGCCAATGCAGAATCCAGTGTCTGCTCCCGAAATGCAAAGATGCTTTTCCAGGTGACATTCCCCTATAGAATTTGACTGTCCACTGTACACTCTGAGTAAAGTAGTCTGGTCAGTGCTGCTGATATTTCTAGTTAGTTGATCAGTGATTGAAGAGAGGACCTATATTTCATCAAATTCCTTAGTTAAGCTAGTGACAGAATCCTGTGATTAGTGTTCCCTCAACATGGGGATAATGGATGTGTGGCCTTTCCTGTCTTGGTAGCCTCATGAAGACATCAGTGTGGTGTCCTGGAATCGGCAGGTGCAGCATATCCTGTCCTCCGCTCACCCCAGCGGCAAGGCTGTGGTTTGGGACCTGAGGAAGAATGAGCCTATCATCAAAGTCAGTGACCACAGCAACAGAGTGAGTGGAGGAAAGGTTCTGATTCTAACTAGCTTACAACATGCCACATATGACTGCAAAGCGGTGACAAAAGCTCTTGGGATCAAGTGTTTTTATTGTGGGAGCTCTTGGGACTAGTTCTCTTGGAGCTGTAGCGTCAAAGCACCTCTCTCTTTTTTTCCCTGATGAAATGGAGAAACAAGACCTCTAGCTGTTCCTGAAATTAAGGCACCCTTGCGTTCAATTTCTATGTTCACACCTCATTTATGAGAAGCCTCCTGCATTTTAATCCCAGCTGTCTTCCTAAGTCAACTTTGAACTAGTCTGTCAACTTCTGTATGGTTAGTGGGTTTTTTGCTGTGTAGAGAAGGTGGAAGTACTTGCTTCCCACAGCAAGACATTGCTAGACTTGCTTAATGTCAAGCATTGTAGGCAAGTTAAGTGCAAATGATGTGGCTCTCGGCCGTTTGTGCTACTGCCAGCTTGCTTTGCTGAATTTTCAGCCTATGCTATTTTTGTCCCTAGATGCATTGCTCAGGAATGGCCTGGCATCCAGAAGTTGCAACCCAGTTAGTCCTTTCCTCTGAGGATGACCGCTTGCCAGTGATCCAAATATGGGACTTGCGTTTTGCTACCTCTCCTTTGAGCCAGCTGGAAGGGCACACGAGGTGAGGGCCTGCTTGTTGTGTTGCCTTTTCAAGGATCTCCATCTTTAAAAGGCAGACATCTGGGAGACCGGACTTAGGGGAACTATGATGTTTTGCTATGTCTGCTTTGTTTCACAGATAAATCTGCTTGAAGGTAGAGATGAGAACTAGCATTTCTAAGCCTAAATGCTGGTGCATGCTGCTTTCTTGGTGACAGGGTGAGAGAGTGGACTGGGTATGAAATATGACTGATTTCTTTCTGATCTATTTTAGGGGAGTTCTCTCTGTCTCTTGGTGCCAGGCTGACCCTGAACTGCTATTGAGTAGCGCCAAAGACAACCGGATCTTGTGCTGGAACCCAAGTATGGGGGAGGTACATAACCACAGCTATAAGTACACATGGTCTGCTTTATAGAGTTGTGTGCTATGCTATGTGTGTGTCCCTTTGTATCTGTGTGGAGTGCCAATGTAATTTCCTCCAGTACGTCTTCTGCACTCTTCCTGTCTGGAGTGAATGAAAGTGTTGTCCATACCCAGACTGAAAACAACAGAGACGGGCAGAGATTTTCTCTGATATATCTGTGTCCAGAGATCATAGAGGGAAGAAAGCTTTAACTAAAACCTAGTTTCAGCTAGTTATGATTACTCTTGCTATGTTCACACATGTAGTGTTCTCTGTGTCCATTTGCTTCTTCTTCTTCCTTCTCCTAGGGTAGTAGGTTTTTTGTGGGGAAACTTGAAGGAGAATGAGGAGCATTTGTTAGGGTCATTGAGAGGAGAACAATGTAATTAAATATGTGTGTAAACTTTATTTGTAGTACAGTGGTTTCACATGTATGTGCTTATCTAGTCATGTATCTCAAAATTACCATCTTTGAAATATTAGGTATCACCTGAATTAAAACAGGACTGTGTAAAAAATTTTTCTGCACACCTACTCATTCAATGCTGAATTTCTGGATAAAACTGAATTTTGAACTTTGAACAAAATTCGTGCAGTTGATCTTGATGATAGCATGGGGAAAGTACTCTAACAATACTGAACAAAGTCCAGCTGGGAGCCCCAGGCTGGATTCATTTCATGGGACAGTTTCACTTAGCTGACCATCTTTGCCTTGGAGGCATGGAAAAAAATTAATCCATTTTCATAAAATGCATGAAATGCTGCTGTTATGGTTTCATAGGATTTGATGCTCACTTTGTACAGATGTTTACTGGTTAGAAGAGAATCAGACTCTGAAATGTTCTGATGTCTAATTTTTACAAAATTCTTTTCACTGTGTTTTAATGGAAGAATTTAAAAAAACAGTTTTAATGCAGCTGGCTCATCTTTATGCGTGCTGCTGTAGATTTGCAGAGTCCAAATTCAAGTTAGACATTTATGCATAAACTATTGTTAGGGGTTTCTTCTTGACTTGTACCAATGAAGAGAAAATTTTCAGGTGATACAAAAATTGGGAAGGTTTTCAGTAGTAAGGGCTGTACGGTTATACAGAATGCCTGATCTGGTTGGTTTGGGGAAGGGGTTGGTTTCTTTGTTTTTTTGGGGATATTTGGGGGCTTGGGGGGGATATTTTTTTTCAACTTAGCAATCTAGATTTTAATATAAGTAAATGCAAGGTTTTATATCTGGGAACAGAAAATGCAGATCGTGTTCCCACAGAGACGGAAGCTGTGATTCTCTGTGCTTTGTGCCTGTGAGGCATAAAGGAAATCTCTTCATTTTACAAACTGGAGGTTCAAAGTCAAGGTTGTGTTAGCGAGTTGCCCAACATCATGCAGGAAGTCTGTGACTGGGCCGTGAATTGAACTTCGGATTTTTGAGTGCTGGACCAAAAACTTTTTGGCTGCAATATCCTTCATAGTTCATCTGCAACTATTGCAGTCCTCTTTTGTTGCTCCACTTTTTTCTGTAGGATTTTATTTTCTTTGTCAAATCTGGTATTCCAGACTGTTCTTTCTGTTTACATGTTCTTGCTCTTGACACCTTCTTGCCTTTTGGCTTCTGTTTTTCTTGTGTTGTTTTCTGGTGTGTCTCCCTTGGTTAACAGCAGGTGCGACGATACTACCTTGATATAGTCATACTTGGAAAGCAGAGCAAAAGTGACCTGTTGCTTTTGGATTTTGTTCTACAATCAGAATCCTATTGTATAGCAACTTTCTGCGGCTTTCTGCTGTTTGGGCTCAATGTGGTATAACTCAGTTGCAAATGCATCCTTCAAGAAGCAAAAATGAGACATTTGTATATAATGGTGATATGTAAATAAAGTGTGACATGCTTGCTGTGGACAAGTAATCTGGGGAAAGCAGGGGACTATTCCTGTTGTGCTTCTTCCTTCTCTCTTTCTGTGATAGGTGGTTTACGAGTTGCCCATTCGGAGTCAGTGGTGCTTTGATGTCCAGTGGTGTCCTAGGAATCCTTCAGTTTTCTCTGCTGCCACTTTTGATGGGTGGATCAACATTTATTCTGTTATGGGTGGGAACTTAGAAGCTCAGCAGAAGACACAGGCTGACAAGGTAAAGTCCTATGAACATGTTATGGCTTGACAGATTGGCAGTTACTCACCTGACTTTTGAAAGCATTAGAAGCACACATGTATAACAGTATGATTTTTAAGCAACGCAGTCTGTCCCACCCACCAGGATGTATAGCTGTGTGGTGTGGGAACCAGAAGCTACCTGTGCGGGGACTTAATATCCACCGAGTCCCAAAGGGTCTACATTGCTTCTTGACAAAGGTGTCTCAGTAGTTCTTGTAAAATTCATTAAAGTGTGTAAAGAGAACCAAGATCAAGTGTAGTTTTGATGTTATGTATATTTTATGGTTATTACTACTAGAGTAAAAATAAAGCAGCACACCCGTTAGAGCAACAAGCTTGTCTTGTCATTAGGTTAAAATTAAATACATTGATACTAACTAATACGATACGTTATTCTTTATTAGTTCAGAATAGAATTTTTCAAAGTAGCTTATAAGCCACTATTAGCAATTTTCCTGAAGTCAATTGAGTATAACTTGGAGCATGTTAATATTTTGATACTGAAATGCCAATGGATAGATGGGCAAACTCTGAACAGATTAAATGCCAGTACTGTCTAAAATTTTAGTTTTAATCTGGTGTCTAGTCTTTTAATTCCCTCCCTCTCTCCCAGCCAACAAATGCCTTACAATACAGGTTTTAAGAGAATACGTATGAGCTGGCTTAAGTGTTATTTATATAGTCATTTACAGCTGACTGAGTTCAGTTTCATAGGATTTGCAAGAGACAGAAAATACTTTATCAGGCAACAGCTGTAGGAGATTAAGGATTTATTTAACCCATGGAGAATTTTCTTTCTGTGCATTCTTCATGTGCATGCGTCACACTTCAACTGTTCAAAATTGCAGAATAGTAGGGTAGAATAACTCCTAGATAAGTAGAATAACAAGTAAGAACACAAATAGGAGGAGATAATGACAGTTATGGAGGTGAGGAGTTCGTGACCAAGAGGTCTCTTTCCTCTGGATTCCATGGTATCCGGACAGAAACTTCACTGAAGATCTGGTGGTTGATGTTATTGGTACCCTGGTAGCGTGTATTTATTTTCTGAAGGTTTGGGGTGATTGGTCTGTTAGGTATAAGCTGCTCCTCCAGGAAATGGTCTTTCTTTGGAATTGGTTTCCCCTCAAGAAAGACTTGAAAGACAAAACATGTAGGTCTTGCCTGTGATTCTTTGTTTGGCGACCTTAGCTTGATCAGCCTTATGTTGCTTACTTTCAGGTATGCTGGTTAGCTGTATTTTGGAGCTGTGCCCTGTGGTCCAGTCAAACTTGAACAGGGTTATCTTTAGCAAACAACAAATGTTAAAAATTAAGAACGCTTATGAACAGCATTGTATGTATGCTCACTGACTGCTTAAATGTTAGAAATCCAGATCAGGGGCCACTTTTGACACTCTTGTCTAGGCAAGAAAGTCTGGAGAGATTATTTCACCAGCCTCATCTAAGCTATAAAAGCTTGAGACAGTCCTTAAAACTAACCCATTTGAAGGATCCCAGCAACAGAAAGGGAGTCAGCATTCCTTTGTGAACAAAACAAGAAATAAGTTGGACAACTTTTGACCATATGTTGTCACTGTCTTGCATAAAACAAGTAATTTTGTAACTTCTGTGTTTATGAGCTGGGTGCTAGGCCAAGCAGTGTTTGTTAGGGAATTTGCATCTTGCTAAGGAAAAATTACTTGAAAATCTGTCAAGGTGAAGCTTTCTTGAGAAATAATTTCTGGAACTATTTGGAAATACCATTTCTCTCACATAGGGGCTTGGTGGTATTCCAGGAAGAGGTGCTGTAATAGCCTCTTTCTTCATCAGCAAGGAAAGTAACTAATTACTAAGCAATAGGTTTTTTGTGCTTACTCCGTACAGAGAGGAATTAAATTATATCTTATTCCTTTCTCCATCTGATTCTAGATCTCTTCCTCCTTCAACAACCTGGATCCCTTTGGCACAGGACAGGTCCTTCCTCCTCTGCAGGTGCCAGAGCAAATAGCTCAGACTACCTTGATTCCACCGTTAAAAAAGCCACCCAAGTGGATTCGCAGACCTGTGGGGGTTTCATTTGCAGTAAGTGAATGGAGCATCCTTAGCTTAAAATGCAGTAGATCTGTTGTCTTGTGACACAATCATCTTCTTTCGCTAAAGAATCCTTCGTCTTCCCGTTGCTAGTTATTTTAAGGCCTGTTTAAGATGCAGTGTGGTGTCCCATGTGGAGCAAAGGTCTTTCGCTCCACATTCAGGTATATTTCCAACAAGAAAGAGTCCTGTAGCAGAGAATAGGAGGTTATAAGTAGGAGTTAACAAAGCTAAGGAAGACTCATAAAAGCCATCCTTGTAGGCTGTGACATGCATTCCCATTCTTCTCTGTCTTTCTCCTTCCTATTCAGGTGTTTAATTTTCTTCACATCTTTGTTCCTAAATTGAAAGGCTGAATTGTTCTTTTAGCTTGTGGCTTGACTTGTTCTCTGTCTGTCTAGTGCCTGCCATTCACATGATAGTTTTTATCATTGCAGCCTGCTTCTCCATGTCAGAAAAGGACAAACAGTTCCAAATGGTACTTTTTCCTCTCTGCCTCTCTGGCATTTGCAATTGGCGAGGCCTGATAGCACATACACAAGTGTCATGGTTATCAGTCTTCAGCTGAAGGGCTTGTGATGTGAACTCCGTCAATGTCCCTACCATCCATAGACATTAAACTGTTTGGGTTCCTTGTGATCACAGCTGGAGCTTGAGTCAGCCTTGTGAAATGAAGAGCTAAGTGAGTTGCTTTTACCTTCATTTATAAGAATGCTTACTGTGTCTCCCTCTGTCTTTCTCAGTTTGGAGGAAAACTGATTACCTTTGGTCTTACCAAAGCTCCTGGACAGCAAATGCAGCAGACTTACCCACACCAGGTATTCATCAGTCAAGTCACTACTGAAACTGAATTCCTGCTCCGATCCAGAGAACTGCAGATGGCCTTGCAGTCAGGGAACCTCCTTGATTACTGCCAGGGCAAGATCCAGACAGCCAAGTTGCCATTTGATGAGAACCTTTGGAACTTCTTGAAGGTAGGATGGCTGTGGTGAAACACAGAGGTCTGTTCTTTTACGGTCCTGAGGTGGAATGTGTTCATTATGGTCTACTTTCTATTCCTGTTCTTTAAGATATAAAATGGAACTGAATAGGCTAGTTAGTTACTTGTCTAAAGAAAAGTTTTTGCCGTCGAGGTCTTGGAGGTTGTCTTATTTTTCAGTAGGAATGCTCTTTTCAATGGACTCATTTGGACTTCCTGTCAAGGTGCTAAACGGGGTTTTCTCATCTCAACCCACTGCCAAGCTATATCTGCCTGCTACCTGTGGAGCTCTACCATTATTATTTCTCACGGCAAAGTCCAAATGGGCAATGGGATTCCCCAGTAATAAGGCAGAGAGCTGTGGTGCCATGAGGACTGACTGTAGCCCTACACAGGACGATGGTTTCATTGACAATTTGGTAATATGAAAGAGTTCGGTAATGAGGAGCAGCCGCCCTTCTGGAGAGGCAGGGCTTAGCCTTGGTAGTGGCTTACAGTCAGTCATAGGCAGACTGGGTGTGGGGCGAAATATTGGGATTTTTTCCATAGTATTACATTTACATGGAGAATCATATCTCTTGAATAGGATGGCCAGGTGTTGTCTAGGTGGTGACAGTAGTCTCCGTTGCAAGGTTCACTGCAACAATGTCTTCAGCTGCATTGGATGAGATAAATCAAACTGTTGTTCTAGTGAATTTTTATAATCCAGCTGGCCCATGGTCCTGTGAGACCACTCCAACACATACAAGATCTATTGCTATTGATTGTCTTAAACTACAAACCAAGCTTCTGTACAAAAGACTGTCCTGCATGACCATTTCTGCCTCTGCAAGAACAGTTTCTACTGACTGTTTACAAGTATCTTATCCATGTACAGTTTGATCAGTTCTGTAGTAGGAACAGCCTGGGACTTGCTGAGACAGACAGATTCTCCTTGCAGAATGTTAATCACATATTAAAGCATACAAATAGTGCCTATCAATTAGGCTGCGTGCAGCCTGTGGGAATCTCTGGGACTGTCTGAAATCTCCACCTAGGGAGCTTCTGTAACAATTAGTTAACTAATTTTTTTGAAGCCCACTAGGTCTTCAGGCAACCACCTTGTCTCAGTTTCATCCGGAGTCAAATCAGTCCATTGTCTCTACGCAGAGATTAGCTGGCAATTCCTAGACCATCCAGGGAATTAATGACCGAGTACACTAGCTATGCATACAGTCATAGCCCTGATACGCAGTTGTACCTCAGTTGTAACTATGTGACAAACTTGAATTTCACCCTTTTATCATGATTATAACTTAAATTCCATAGATTTTCCCACAGTGGTCATTAGGTGAGCTTGTCATAGTTCCTTATCTATAAACTGAGCTCTAAACTTTGCTGCTGCCAGAAGTAGCCAACCGTTGGCAGTATGTAGATGTCTAGGATTTTACATATTTTCTTGTCTTTTTAATATCCTTTGGGCCTCAGGTGAATCTGGAGCAGGAGTCCAGGACTAAACTCCTCAAGCTGCTTGGCTACAGTAAAGAGGATCTGCAAAAAAAGGTAAGGGGTCTTTCCAATAGAGAGAAACGTTTACAGGACTAAAGCTGCTGCAGGAGACTTGTAGGGTCCCTTCTGGAAACGAGTGAGTGATCTCACAGCAAACAAAAGACCAAACTGTATGAAACTGCAGCTGAGAGGCACCTTAAGTATCCCCCATTAAATAGCAAATGCGGGCACTTGTAAGGGTATAACTGTAGCTGTACTGGATCAAACCAAAGGGGTCTTGAGCCCAGTTATCTTCCTTCCAGTTGTTGGTGCTCTGGGAAGTACACAACAACAGTGCAGTTGTGAGAGCTTCTTCTAGCATCCAGCTCTCTGCATCTCAGGGGATTCCTCAGCCAGGAAGAAGGTGACAGATGAAGAGAGTCTGGCATAGCACTGATGGAGCTGCAGGGGAGGAAACTCTTGCAGCAGCATGGACAATGATCTGGAAAGGATAAATAACCTCTGATAGGCAGCCAGCCAGGAATAGGGAGAGGTGGAACTTTTCAAACAGGTGAAAGAGCCAGGGGAATTGTGTCTGGGGCTTGCCAGTCACTGGGTGGCTTTGCTGCCCAGGTGTTTAACTTTGATAGGAGCTTCACTCTGTGCATGTCTGTTACTTTTCTAGATCGCTTCGTGTTTGAGTAATGGGATCCCAGATAAACAGCCCCTTCCTGAGGCAGATGAGCCAAATGCTGCACAGCCAGATCAGGTATGTCCTGTACATCTTGCCAGCCTGGGAGAGCAGTGGAAGGCAGACTGAACAGGAAGGTCGAATTCCAACCACAAATTGTTGGGCTCAATGCAGGCATTGCAGAGGGCAGTTCACAGGCCTGTCAGACCCTCACAGGGTCAGACTAAATGATCATAGCGGTCCCTTCTGGCTTTAAAACAAATCAGCGAATGATGAAGACGGACTCCTGGCTGTTAACACTGCAAGAAGGCTTGCTTCACCAGTGCTGATTTCTTCAGTGATAGAATTAGCCTCACCCCAGCTTAACTACAGTTCTGGATTTCCTCTGTGAAGCTTCTGCTGTGGTATTTCTTTTGCATTTCTTTCCTTTTCACCTCTATCCTTTGAAATGTATTGTCACATGATTTTGGAATGTCTATCTTCAGATGCCTTCTGAGGCCTGATTCACCATGCACTGTAAATTTTGCTCCTCTAAGGTATCGAAAACTGCTATCCTCAAATTAGTAATCTTCTTCACAAACCTTAAACACTGGCTGAAATATTCTAGGGGCAGCAATTGTGTCCTGCATTTCAATAGAGCACCAAGCATGGCTGTGATCCTACCTGTTAGTTACAGATATCACTTGTTGGGCTTGACCCTGTTCCATCCAAAATTGTCCAGCTTGCTCAAGGGCTGGAAGCTGAGTTGATGAATGCTGGCCAGCCATACTGTTGGCATTGCATGTCTTATACCATCAATTTCCTAAGCTTTGTCGATAGCAGCACTGCTCTTGTTGCTGCCCTGGTGAAACTGTGCAGGTTGATACAGGAGTGACAAGAAGCATGGTGGGTTTCCAGGTTGAAATTAGATTTATATGAGCATGCTCAACCAAATAGAGAGCAGCCCCATCCCACTCTGTAATCCACTAAACTGTTTTGGGTAGGATCTGTGTGTTCAATGAATTAATTAACCTCTTGCACTCTTTGCACAGCTTTTGATAAATTCCAGTGATGATGTAGCTGCTGTTTCCTCCTCTTCAGCCTTTTTTGACAACCTCATCCCACAGAATATGAGCACATTGGAGATTCCTGTGACAGAAGGTATGTTACATGAACTGTGTTTCTGCCCTTTAAGGAAAAGGGGAGAGGAGGGAAAACCAGAAAATTAGAGAGACCAGGAAGAATCTGGTCCACTCCAGCAGATGGATGCTTTTAAAACACATGACCCCTCCCAGTGTCATGCAGCATATCTCAGCATTGTGCAGAGAAAGACTCTTCCCAGATAACAGGCCCATTAAAAATATAGGAGAATTTTCTAGATAATGGAAGACTTACAGTCAAGTCAGTGATTTTTTTAAAGTGCAAAATTTGATTTGGGTTTCCAAATTTTCTTTTAGCTGGGCTTCCATATGGTATTGTTTTTTTACTGCCTCCTCTTTAAAACAAGCATCATCAATGCATCTGGACGATGCCGCTGTGGGTTGACTCTGCTTCTCACCTCTGTAGATACGGATGGACTCATCAGCCAAGCCCTTTTGTTGGGGAATTTTGAGGGTGCAGTGGAGCTGTGCATGCGAGCAGAGCGCTTTGCTGATGCCATCATCTTAGCTATAGCTGGTGGGGAGAACCTCCTAAAGGAGACTCAGAAGCGCTACTTTGCGAAGAGGAAGACAAAACTCTCCCTGGTAAGTGACAGTTTTGTGTACCCACTGAGTAGGGGAAGGTGTGCAATATCTTGGCAGATGTTTGTCTGAATATATGTGGAAATGCTGTGGCAGGAAGTAGAACGTCAACAGAATCTGTGCATCTCCTCTTGACTTGACATGTACTCTAATGTCTTGGTAGTTTTGTGACAACTTCATGTTGCCCACCTAGAATGTCTGTGTTCTCTGTTCCGTTTGTTTTTTAATCTAATGGTTTCTGCCTCAGTTCCCCATGCTTGTAACCTATGGAGCATACTGCCCCTTTACAGCTCAGCTAGGAGGTCCTAGCTTATTAATTTACAAATGGGGAAGGGTCACAGGGGTTGGGATATCCTAACACTATATTCCCAGTCATTGATACTAGCTGCTCTGAAACAGGATATGTGTTAGATAGATCTTTAGTCTTGCCTAGTGCAGCTGTTTCCGTATTCTCTTAAGTACTTTGTTGGGCTTTTTTACTTTCTTTAGAGGAACTGGGTTCCAATTACTGTTAACATTGGGATGCTGGGATTGGTGGACCTTAATATACAGTGAAGTAGTTGCTGCATAGTGGGAAGTGTGCCTGAAAGTGAGCTGTTGCTTTCGGTGCACTTGCTTAAGCAGTCAGCTTATCTTTGTCTTCAGTGATTGACAGGCCTTCTGCTTCCCTTACAGCTGCTTTCCTCCATTGTGCAGCAGAACTGGCAAGATATTGTTTGCACGTGTGATCTACAGAGCTGGAAGGAGGCACTGGCCATCTTGTTAACATACTCAAAGCATGAGGACTATACCCAGCTCTGTGGTATGCAGCATACTATGTTTTTATATGATTTTCCTTAGGGGAGGGCACCTCTGGACTGCTTACGGAAAGAAGTGGATACAGTTGAGGAAGGAAAGTGCTCCTTACTCGTTACAGCTAGGTGGAACTTATTTAATAAGTGGGGACTGTTGAGTTAGGAGAATGATAGATGCACACTGTAGCTGAGAATCATGGTGTAAAATTATATATGCTGATATTTCCTGCCAGCTCTACCAATAGCATGGAAAAAACAGGATAGGCACTAGGCTGAGACACTAAGGAGGTGATATTTTTTTATTTTATTCTGGGGAGAAAGGCATTTCCTTGACAGTAAAAGGTCAGATGGCTTCACTCTGTCTGAAAGAGGTTTACTCTTCCAGCACATTCCCCTCCCTTTTAAGCTCAGAAACAGGGATTCATGAACGTTTGATGACTTCAGTAGTTTCCTCAGTCCTGTTAATAGTCCAACATGCTCAGAAACTGGTTGTTCTGAGAGTCAGACTTAGGGGGCAATCTAGTGACTGAGTCTGATGAAGTTACTCATGCTCCTTAGCTGGGAACTAGCTCCTGGCTGACGGGAACAGCTAAGTGCTGTGGGAGAAATGCCAGCACTTTATATGTAAGATGACACAACTTGAAATGCAAGAAAACATGACATTTTACAGACTATATTGTAGGGATGGAAAGTGGCTGTGGCCGCGGTGATAGTGAGATAGCTCCAGCTCACCTTTATCTCCTAGCATTTGCTAAACATTGACAACTACCAGATTGCTAGCTGTGCCTGGTACTGGACACTACTGTTGCCTGGAGATTCCTACACCTCTTTGGGAAAAAAAGTGTTGGATTTTTTCACTAAATTTATCTGTCATTTTTAAGGGGTTTTCTTTCTTTTATATGTCTGGGCAGACATATAAAAATTGGCAGATATATAAAAAATTACTTCTTTTTTCAACCAAGTTGGCTTTGGGATTCCTTAATGATGCCCATTTCTCTGTGTTATCCAAGAATTATACAATGAAGCTGGTGAAGGGTCTAGAGAGCGAGTCTTATGAGGAGCATCTGAGGGAACTGGCATTGTTTAGTCTGGAGAAATGGAGGCTGAGGGGAGACCTTATTGCTCTCTACAACTACCTGAAAGGAGGTTGTAGCGAGGTGGAGGTCGGTCTCTTTTCCCAAGTAGCAAGTGATAGGATGAGAGGAAAAGGCCTCAAGTTGCGCCAGGGGAGGTTTAGATGGGATATTAGGAAAAAATTCTTCACTGAAAGGGTTATCAAGCCTTGGAGCAGGCTGCCCAGGGAAGTGGTTGAGTCCCCATCCCTGGAGGTATTTAAAAGGCATGTAGATGTGGTGCTTAGGAACATGGTTTAGTGGGACTTGGCAGTGTTAGTTTTGTGGTTGGACTTGATGATCTTAAAGGTCTTTTCCAACCTAAATGATTCTATGATTCTATAATTCTAATTAGGTGCAGATCCAAAGCTGTCAATACCTTTTCATGCCAAGCCAAAGCAGGATTGCCAAGAGATGAGCATTTGGGTTAATGAGCTCTTCAGAAAAAGAGTGTGTTAAATATTGGCTGTATTTCTTCCTCTCTAGACATGCTGGGTGCCCGCCTAGAGTCAGAGGGAGATGCAGCCCTGTCCAATGATGCCTGCCTCTGCTATATCTCATCAGGCAATGTGGAGAGGTTGGTGGAATGCTGGGTAAAAAACCATGAGACTTCGTCACCCCTTGCCTTGCAGGTACAGGTGCTGTAATGTTGGTTTGACTCCTCTTTAGGCCAGTCTGGTAGCCCTGATCTGTTTGTGTTATCCCATCAGAGTATCTGTCTTCCAGCAGACAGTGGAGATCTGTTCGTAGTCATCAAGGTATCTCCTTCTAGCCTGGATTATGGGCTTACATCTAAAGGAGGCTTGCACTCTTAAACGTTAAGGGATTCTGTGTTTAGAGAGTACTGATTACATTGCACATAAATCCATCCGTGGACAGGGCTTATGGCCTACCCACCTGTCTTTGTATACTGATGTCATCTCTGAGCTTCCTTTTAGTCAGGGAAGTTTAGACTGTACCTGTTTTCTTACTGGTAGTTGCCTGGGAGTACATTTGCTCTGCGCTTATCATGTCTAACTGTAATGCTCCAGTTACTGGGCTGTACCTTCAAAACAGGCTCTGGCAAAATAAAATAAAGTCTAGACTGTATTATTCCCACTGCAAGTAGGATGATCATGTATGGGAAATCACAGCTTGCAGATGAATCAGGGCTTCTCAGTCAGTGTTGTTACCTACCTATTACACTTAAACCAGTGCTGGCTAAGTCACTAACCCCTGTTGTGTCCACCAGTTGCTAGAATGAACTAGACAAGCCTTCCACTCAGATATCTGCAGATAATGCTCTCTGCTACAGAGTTCCCTGGTTTTGCAACCCCACTAGTGAATAACAGCAACAAAAAGGCATCTGCAGCATTCCTGGTTATGTTTGAAACTGCCTCCTCCCAGTTATGAGCCAGTGATGCATGTGTCATTCTACAGATATAAACATTACTTTGATTTCTAGGAGTTGAAGGAGCTTTGAATAACTAAAAACCTTCTGGTCTGTTTGTCAGCAGTAGTCGTTTTTCCTTGTGAATTTCTCCTGGTATGGTTTTAATCCAAGCTTATAGCTTCTAACTCCTAGAGTTAGAGTAGTAGCTTCCTAGTAAAAAGATCACAGTTGATTGGAACGTCCTTATGGCTTCCGATTTTCTTTTTTCCCTTACCATAAAAGTAGCAGTGTCAGGGTTTGCTTCCTGGTTCCTGTTTTCCTCCACAGAGTGCATCTGAGGAAACAGTCGTCAGTGATAGTATCTGGTGCAGAGTGGAGTAACTTCTGTTCACATTGGACCCAATGTCAGCTGAAAGTGGGGAGAGCCATCTGGTATTGTCTCAGCATGAGACGGACCAGTAAAGCAAGTCAGATTCTGAGTGGTCTATTTCTTCCCTCCCCCTGGCTTGTTCAGGATCTCATAGAGAAGGTGATGGTGCTGAGCAGGTCCATTGAGATGCTCCGAGGCACAGCAGGACCAGCGCCAGGTCCTGTCTTGGCAGAACGAATCACCCAATATGCCAGTCTCCTGGCATCACAAGGATGCTTGGCAGCTGCAATGAATTACCTACCCAGCAGCTCTAAAGAGGTGAGTGAGAAATGGGTTGTTGTGGGAAAGAGTTTTGAGTGGGGAAAAATGATACTTTGTACAAGAGAGAGCTTCGCTTTTGACATGCATCAGGACTTAAGGTTTCACCTTAATTATGGTGATGAGAGTAGAGGTGTGGGTTTTTTTCTAGGACACAGCTTTTGTCTTCATTTGCTTTTTCTTTGTAGTTCCTTTGATTCAGGGAAAACAAAGGGAGCTATAGAACTGTAAAATGGAGAACAACGCTGGGAAGCAGCTCTCCAGGGAAGCTGCATCGATTCCTGAAACTAGCTGGTAGAGGAGGGGAATGGGGAGGTCACCTTGTACTTTGAAACAAATCTGTCTGGTGCCCAAATGTGGGTAGGGGTTGGGGAGGGAATACTCTAAAGACTGGAGGAAGGATCAGTGAGACTTCATCGGCCTGGGAATATGGCAGGTGATGTCCCAGATTGTCGCTTACAGGTTTTTTGGTTTGTTTTTTTTCCTGGTAGCTATTGGGGAGATGGTTAGTTTTGCAGGTTGATGCTCAGTGTTTTGGGTCAGGGTCTGCTATGAATGGCTCCCTTCCATCTGAGACTTTCAAGGCACTTCTCCTAAAGCATAGTTTGTTTCAGCTCCTGATCGAACAGCTCCGAGACCGGCTCTTCCATGCTCAAGGAGAGAATGTGGGTGATCAGCTTCCCTACACTCGTGTCAATGTAGGTGTCATTAAACACACATCTCCAGCAGCCAAGGGTGGTTCCGCCCCTGAAGGAGCAGCCCACAAAACAGGTCCCAGACATCCAGAGAAGGTAGGCCTTAAACTCAGGTGTTCATGGCTTGGGGAGAGGGAGGAAGGCTACTGGGTTGTGGAAGGCATATGAAGTAATATGAGATGATGCAGATTGCAGACATTTGAGGAACTCATCAGTGATGTCCTTCACTGGAGCAAACACAAGCTCTGTGATAATCCAAAAGTAGGCTGCCTGGCATCTTTTCACAAAGCCCTGCCTCGTGCAGTCACTGGAGAAGACTGTTACAAGTGTAGTGATCCACTGAGATCTCACGTGCTGAGGGAAAAGGGGGCTGTGGTTCACTCTCTATGCCCATCTCGCCCTCATATCTCAGTAAAATTAGTATAGTATGGCTTCATCTCAGTTCTTGCACAAGAAGACTGTCCAGAAAGTTTTGCTTCCAGCCTCTATTACTTCATTATTGTTCCTTCATTATTTCCTCTGGTTGTGCTTTCAGGAAGTCACTATATGCGAGCTGGCTCCTGAGGACTAATCCTCTTGAGAGCTGGAGAATACTCTGAAGAGTGTGGTGCCCAGCTTGTTGAGCAAGTTATGTGGTGGCAAAGGCCTTTGATCCAATCCATCCAGGGCACTGACAGCAGCAGCATCTTCTCTTGTCTGAGAAGTGACAGGGATAGAATCTGCTTGTGTGTGTACGCACACGACTGTGTCGCCCATTTGCAAGTTCTTTGTTTTTTAATTGCAGCCCAACTATCAGTCATCATTTGCCCCTTCAGCACCTTCTCAGCCTTCAGTGCCTTCCCTCTTCACACCTCAGCCAGTGCCAGCGATGTCTATGACACCTCACCACGTTGCGTCTCCCCAGGTCAGCACGGGTCCACAGACAAGTGTCTATTCCAGAGGGCCTCCATACCCACAGTACAACTTGGGCTTGGGTCCAGCAACCGTTTCAGGGCAAGGTAAGCATTGTCTGATAGTCTTGTCCATTCTCCAGGTTTTCTTAGACAAAAGCCTTCAACATGGATGGCTGCTCTAGTTTCTTCCTCACAGGCCTATTGTACTTGCAAAGAACAAGTCAGCTGTCTGAGAGGCTTCTCAGTGCTTCTGACACATCTAGTTCTAGCAACTGTCGCTGCACGTCCACTGATATTAAGCATATATAGGGGTGGAGAAGCCACAGCTAACTTTGTGTCAGAGTTTGACTGATGTAGCCTGGGTTATGCAGGATATGCCTGGCATGGATATTCTAGGGTATGACTTGGAGAAGGGCAGACTTACTAGCATGAAGGAGAGCATCAGGAGTAGTTTGCACATGAAACAAGTCGTGCTGATACACTCTCTCTCATTTGTAGCTGTGTCACAGTCTCAGCCATTCGGACCAGCGGGAGTCAGACCTGTTGGTCCTGCTCCCTTCCCCAGCCAGCCTTCTCTGCCAGGACAGTCCATTCCCATGACATCTCCTGCTGTTCCACCACCCGGACCTGCCCTCTTCACTCCAGCCTCAGTCCCATCACCTCAGCTTCCTGCAGCTTGTCCTCTCCCTGTGGCAAACCAGTCTCCTCTAGGTTTCTCTTCAGCACCTTTCAACTGCCCCATGAACATGGGTTACCCTCAGGGAGGTCCTGGAGCTCCATCTACTAAGCCCCTGCCAGCAGCCAGCATTCCTCCTCCTCCCACAGGTAAGTACTGCTTATGTGACTTGTGTGTCCAGGACACTCCTGAATAGGGTTTGCAGTACATAATGGACATGGACCTTCTGAGACCTGGTTTGTCACCGTAAAGGCCGAATGTGGTGCTGAGGCTAACCTTACAGGCACGTTGTACTGAGTCTGGCTGTGGTGGTGAAACACAGCAATGACGACAGTTTCATTCAGCCTGTTCAGCTGCTTTGTCCCCCAGGTTGTGGTTACAAGATGCTGTCTCTTCAGGTCCCCAGTGCACCCTGAGCAGTCATCCCCTCTAGAGGCATCTGCTCTGACTGAAAGGGTGGTGGTTCCCAGGGAATGCCAGGTGGAAGGCTTGCTGATCTCACCCCTGCTTATGTAACTGACACAAGAAGTGCATTTGAAATGTTGGGAGAGCAGGGTGCCGCTTCTCTGTCCATGGGATACCCCTTGCTTAGCTTCAGGATGAAATTCCTCTGTCTGCTGTGCTCTAGTTTGCCCCATTTTCTACTGTTGCCATAAAGTGCTTGCCTGGGAATCACTTCTGGATTCTTCTGTGCAGTGCTCTAGACCTGGAGCCTTTCCTCTCTGGGTCTGTAGTTTGAATCCAGCCCAGCGTGCAAGTAGTGTGAAGTCCTTGCTAGCATGATGAAGAAAGAGAGTGTTGTTGGACGTAGTTCCCAGTGGATGGGCATTCCCTCTTTCTATTTCCCACAGCATCACCACATCTGGTGCTTGTTAATTCTTTGTTTGCTGTCTCGGGGGACAGGTTTAACCAGGCTGTGGAGGTCCCCAACAACAAGACTGGCAATCCTTAGATTTTTGAGCAGGTGCTTCTCCAATCTATGCGTATTCTGAGAGTGAAGGAACTGAGGCTCTGAGGTTTGCCTCTACCTGGAATCCTTTGCTGAGCCGTGTTTAACCAAGGATAGCAAATCCCACTGCGTGAAGCCTGTGGGGACTACACACAAAGGCCCTAAGCTAAGGCTGGACAAATTCCTTCTGAAAAGCCATCAGGGATAGTAGGCCAAGGACATTACTCACTGAGTAAAAGCTGTTGGTGATGATGACTCTCCCACCCTGCCTTGATTTTCAGGTTTCTTCCCTTGGCTAGATCCCAACACGGATCATGCAGGTAGTACCCAGAGAAGCCTTCAGACCTGTGGGGGAGGCAATGTTGCTGCTTCCAGTGAAATGTGGGGTGTGTGCGCACGTTTTACTGTGTGTGCATGTGTGCATGCTCATTGCTGTTTGTTGTTTCCTTGCATGCCTAGGGAACTATACAGCTGGGGTAGTGGACATACTGGTCCTGAGGACTAGTAAGTGACAGCTGGGGGTGTTGGAAGGGAAACGAAAGCACTGTGCTCTTACTGATGAGTTTGGGTACAGAAAGCAGGGGCTCCAGCTTCTTCCTTGTCTACCTTCCTCCAGTCCTGGAGGAATTAGAGCATTCTCACTCTGTGTCCCTTCAGGCAGTTGCTGGGCTAGCAGGACAGGGAAGCAGCCCCTTTTCCTTTCTTGGTTCTTCAGGCAAGGAACAGGCCAGTGGTTCTAACTCATCTCTTGTTTTCTCCCTGTTACAGTCCCAGCCTTATGCATGGCTTTACTTGTGCTTGTGCTTTCCCCAGGTGGTTTGGAAGAGGTGGGTCCCAGCATGAGCAGTGGTGGAGTAGAGCTTCCCAAGCAGAATCTGGGGGCCCTATTCCAAGGGGAACTGGAAAGCCCTTTTGGTTTTAGTTACAGGGCAAGGTTTGGCTTTGAATCTCAGCCCGTCTGCTGGGGAGAATTTGGACTGTAGAGGTTTTCTGACTGATGCTTTGAAGTGATTTCTCTCCTTGGGATTCACTGATGGTGGAGAGTAGGTATCTTCCAGTTTATGTTGTCAGTGGGGTAATGCTTAATGTCTTAGTGGACTGTCTCTGCACAGTGACTGCTGCTTGTGCCAAAGACCATCTGCCAGGCACAAAAGATTATCTAGGGAGTCTCAGCTTTATTTAGGAAATCCGAGCACTTGGTAGCCACATACACCACCAAGCAAGCCTTGCTGTGTGGAGTGGGACTCTAGAAAGGGAGTTGTCCCTTCAGCAGAGAAACAAAAGACCCCAGTGTTTCCCTGTTAAAGGAAAGATGATTCCATGGCAAGGATTTCAAGCACTTTCTCAGGCTGAGGATGCCCTGCAGGAATTCACTGCTGGGAAGTTCCCTTCTCCTGGCAGCGTTTACCTCCAGTTTTAATGGCAGCATGTGGCATGCCCAGATCAGCAGTGCAAACTGGCTTCCTTGAGTGTGCTTTCTTGCCTGCTATTATTATGCTGGTTTTGATGGGTACTATTCTTTAGCCTGGAAAGGGACTGTAAGATCACTCAAACTGACTGGGCAAACTTGCTTGCTTTGGAAATTCCTGAACGTGATCTGAACAGCTCATGAACACATTCTCACTACTGCAATGAAGAGAGGCCTTCACTTGTAGAAATCCCATGGTCCTAGGGAGTGTCAGGGACAGGGTGAAGGACAGCAACATGTTGGCTGATCTCCTTTCTGGCTGGGATAATCCCTGACTCCAGCCTGTGACAGTCTTGTTTTTCTAGGACAGGCATTGCTGGAGACTACTGCCATGGGGCACTCTTTTCAGGGTTGGTGAGAAATCCTATTTCACAAGTAGCATAGGCAAGATAGTCAGAGTTTCATCCCAGCAAAATGCAGCAGGGTCCTGTTGTCTCATGTCTGATGAGTAAGTGCCTGGCTTAAAGACTATAATTTAAATAGCTGTTTCCTGTGAGGATTCAAAGTGCCACTGCGTTGGAATAGTGCCAAGGACTGCTAGGCCACAGACTCGGTGGGGGCCAGCAAAGTTCTAGGGCACAGAATCCCCAAGCTAGAAATAAGTGCCAACTTAATTAAACTACTGATCCAAACTCATCAGAGAGCAAGTCTTGAAATCATGGGAAAGGGAAGGCAAAAAGAGGCTGCCAGAATTTTAATAATAAAGGTAATTAAAGTAATGAAGCACCTTTTGCATCTTTCCCCTGTGATGTTTTAAAGCTCAGTTCAGGATCAGTGGCTCATTAAGTGTGGCACTGAGCTCCAGCAATTCTGATATTGCCCCTTAGAGTTATACCACTTTCTCACAGAGTATTCCCGTCTTATGGGCTTGAGGTTATTAATACTGGGGTGACAAAAGAAGTACTGGGGTTTTGTCTAGAGTTGCAGGTGCCCTTACAGGACAGCAGCAGACAAGGTAGTTGGAATTTCACCTTCGCAGAATGAAGTGTGGTCACAAGTCTTTTGCTGTTACGTTGTCTGATGGATTTTTAGTTACCTGGAGTGAGGTTGGAGGCTAGGTACCACAGAAGTGTCTGCTGAGACACCCCTCTGCTCCTGAGGCACTTACTGGTTAAGTCTATTCCCTTCTAGTTGTGAAGCCAGCAAATTTTTCTAAGCTTTAGTTATGATTTTGGAAGGGGAAAATTTCAGTCCATCCCTAACTTTTTCCCCCTTTATCACAGCAACCTGCATTGCTGTGGACTGCCACCATGAGGCACTCCTGCCAGTGTTGGCAAGAAGCCCTCTCTCACCAATAACACAGCCCTTGCTGTGGTACCACAGTGCTAGAGTCTCTGTTTGGGGAACCCCAGGAACTCCCTGTACCCTGATGTGCACACACATGCAGGTCCCGACCAAGGTTCGGGACTGACTCTGAGGCTGACTTCTGCAGCCTGTGCAGAATGTGGAAAGCTTCAGATAGTTGCGAAAAAGCTTTCTGTGTGGGAGTGGGTGTATGCCAGTTCAGCCTGGTCAGATATCACCTCATGAAGCCTGTGCATGTACTCAGATGCTAAGAATGTAATTAAGAAAGAGAAAGGGAAGCAAGAGCAGTTCTTGGGCCCATGAGCTGAGCCTGAAATTCCTCAGTTGAAATGGTGTGAAGGTGCAATGATGGGGGAATTGGAACCATGCTGAGGGAAGTTCCAAACCATGCAAGCAACCATAAAGTGTTGCTGTGGCCACCTTTGCAAAGTCTGACATTTGTGTCTTGTTCTCTCTCCTGGCAGCTCAGGAATCTTGGACTGATCCCTCTGCTGTAAGAGGAGGCCTTCAAAAGAAAAAGGTAAGCTTTCAGCTGCAATATGTGTTGGTTGTCTTTTTGCCAGGAAGCTCCATGTAGCAGATACATTCCTATAAATGCTTCCTGTTACAGTCAGCAGGTCTCATTCCATGTTGGTCTGTCTGCTTCTGCATTACGTGCATAGCTAATACTGGAGCCTGTCATCTTGACCCTTTGCCATCCAAACTCACATGCCATTCTCCAGGGTGGCTGTTTTGTAATATCGTTATCATCTGTGATGCTGCATTCTCTGTCAGTACTTCCCAGGCTGACTACAGTCACTTGTTCCTAGAAATATGGGTTTAATCTTATCCCCTTGCCCACACACTTTTTTTGATAGTGGCTGGGGAGATCATGCTCCCTTCGCACCTGACAGCTGGGGGCAGCATTTCCCCTCAGCACAGTGAGACTCACAGTGATTTTCCTCAGGTGCTGATACCAACTGATAAGGCACTTCTGCTGAAAGAAGTTGGGACAGGTGTAGCTGTGAGCTGCCTGCCATGTTGGCCCTGCTGCTCTCTGCCTTGTAGTGATTGCATTGGAGGACCTGTGAGCTGAGCTCTTTTGCAACAAATGCTCTCAGTACCACATTTTTATCACTGCTGTCTGCTGGCAGGTGTGATGAGAAGCTTCTTTGGCACCATTCCCACCCCCCACTCCTCTTCTTTAGCTTGGAACAGACTTCTCGCCCTTTTTCTGGCAGCATAGCTGGGAACCTGCTTCAGGCTGTGCTCACTACAACAGGATTAGCCTCTTGTTAAAGCCATCTCCTTTTGATCTAGCCCCGTTGGAGCGAATCTGTCCTGACTCTCTGGCTTAGCAGGGGCACGATGAAGTGTTTGCAAGAGGATTCTCCCCCCATGTCGTGGGATTTTCCCCAACACTTGCTCTGTTGGACACTTTACTGCTGCTAATCTCTACATTCAGGACTCGTGCCGTCGCAGAGCCAAGGCGGCTTTCTGAGGACCAGTGCTTTCAGGGGCAATGGATCTGTTTGATTGAACAATTCCAGAGGAGTTTTCTTGCTGTCGCTTTGACTGTTCATCTAGGATGCAAGAGGAAGGGCCCCACGCTCTGAGTCAGGGGGCTGAAAGAACAGGGGTGTGTTACACATCATCTTGAGAACTGGGCACTCTGCCAGTTAGAAAGGAAGTTGAATTTGATTGCAGAAAGTGTAACCAACCCTCCTTCCTTGGACTTGGTTTTCTTGATTTTTTTTTTTTTCTTTTCTTTCTTTTGCTGACAGTTGCCTGAGAAATTTACTCCTCCAGCCCCCATCACAGCTCCAGTAATGAGCCTGCCTGCTGAGCCCCAAGGGATCCATCCTCAGCTGTCCAGGTTGCAAGAATCTGGCCAGTCACCCCCAGGAGCACCCAAGGAAGGCAGCCTGCAGGTACCCAGGGAAGATGGGTCATTCCCCAGCCACCAGCTCTTTGTCAAGTAGAAAAACAACTCAGCTTTTGAGATTCTTATTACTTGGTAGCTGCAGGGCTTATGTTGCTCCCTAGCCCTTGTAAGACATCTCTGCCTGAGTGTTAGAGGAATTGCCAGGGTGGAAAATGACACCCAGGTACGGCTGGGAGAGAGGGAGGGAGGGAGGCCAGGCAGGCTGTCAGCCTGCTGGGAGTTGGGATTCCACAGAGGCCTGAAGCTATACCACAGAAGCTATACCGTCTGAAGATGATAATCTAACTCTGTGCTTCCAGGTATTCTCTGGATTTGAAAAGGGGTGAAATTCTTTCTGTTCATAGTTGCAGGAGGGGAATCTACCTCATGCTCCTGTTGCATTCATTCAGCTGCTTCTTTCTCTGTCAGTATCACCAGCTACCTGTGGAGAGGGTTGAGAGGAAGGAGGTGCCCCCTGAGCACCAGGCTCTGAAGACCACATTTGAAGGGTTGGTGCAACGCTGCTCTGCTGTCGCCACTGATCCAGTAAGTCCTCTCTTCTCTGATCTTTGGTTTGTTTGCCCTCCTAGATGTTTGACTGGCACTTCCATCTTTTGGTTGGGAAAAAAGAGGAAGAGTCTTGTCCCTATAACCAAGTTAATCTCCATCTGCCTCCTTCCTTTAGGCTGTAGGCTTGTCCATCTCTTCGGAACTGAGATGCATTCTCTAGCATTTATCCACTGCTGCTCATTGCCTCTCTGGAGCAATGGTTCTGTCCTCCTGGCTCTTTTCTCTGAGGAAAGTAGAAGAAACGACCCAGCTAATTCAGCTTCCTTTTTCACTGGCTTGATCTGTAGGTAGTTCCTGCAGAGCTAGTATTACCAGCTATCCTCAGAGCTTAGAGGGAAAGGCTGAGATATCCTGGCTGGAAGAGAAAGCCAGACAATCTTTGTGTCCGAGTCACTGTAATTTCTTCACCCAGGTTCCTGGAAGGCTGTTGGCATACATGTCACATTGCATGAATGTATCAGGCCAGACTGTCTGGAAGCAGAAAAACAGTGTTTGCAGCACTGTGTTAGGTTGCTAAGTCTTCCCAGAGCTTGGGGGCACCGTGAAGTCTTCCAGAATACCTCTGCTTAGTGGGTGTTGGGATGAGCACTGAGCCCAAACTGCTATCCCAGAGTCAGACAATTTGTGTGCAGCAGCAGCTTTGGCATGTTTGCTCTGTGCTTTCTGGGAGTGCAGTGTAGCAATTTCTGGGAGAACCTAAAGGTTCCCTCTAGGGACAGAAAGGCCTGTTGATTTAGGCTTAAGCACTCGGCTTACATGGAGGTTGAATAGCTGGGTTGGTACAGCAATGCAATGCACCTGGGCTCCTAAGGCTGCCAGGGCTGTCCCAGCGTTGCCCAGAGGCAGGCATTTCTATCCACAGTATAATTTACCTTTGAATGGATTATCCAAGGTGGGGTTAATGGGATTGGTCCCACCAGAGCTTCAGTACTCAGGCCCTTTCCTTGCTGGTTACCTAGACGTGGTGGGTTGACCCTGGCTGGATGCCAGGTGCCTACCAAAGCTGCTTTGTCACCCCCCTCCTCAGCTGGACAGGGGAGAGAAAATATAATGAAAGGCTCGTAGGTCGAGATAAGGACAGGGAGAGATCATTTACCAATTATCATCATGGGCCAAACAGACTCAACTTGGGGAAATTAATTTAATTTATTACCAATCAAAAATCAGAGTAGAATAATGAGAAAATAAAAACTAAATCTTAAAACACCTTCCCCTGACCCCTCCCTTCTTCCTGGGCTTAACTTTACTCCCAAATTCTCTACCTCCTCCCCCCGAGTGGTGCAGGGGAATGGGGAATGGGGGTTGCGGTCAGTTCATCACACATTGTTTCTGCCACTCCTTCCTCCTCAGGGGGAGGACTCCTCACACTCTTCCCCTGCTGCAGTGTGGGGCCCCTCCCACAGGAGACAGTCCTCCATGAACTTCTCCAACAGGAGTCCTTCCCACAGGCTGCAGTTCTTCATGAACTGCTCCAGCATGGGTCCCTTCCATGGGCTGCAGTCCCCCAGGAACAGACTGCTCCAGCACAGGTCCCCCATGGGGTCACAAGTCCTGCCAGGAGCCTGCTCCAGCGTGGGCTCCTCTCTCCACGGGTCCACAGGTCCTGCCAGGAGCCTGCTCCAGCGCGGGCTTCCCACTGGGTCACAGCCTTCTTCGGGCATCCACCTGCTGTGGCGTGGGGTCCTCCATGGGCTGCAGGTGGATATCTGCTCCACCGCTAACCTCCATGGGCTGCAGGGGGACAGCCTGCCTCACCATGGTCTTCACCATGGGCTGCAGGGGAATCTGCTCTGGCGCCTGGAGCACCTCCTCCCCCTCCTCCTTCACTGACCTTGCTGTCTGCAGAGTTGTTCCTCTCACACATTCGTCACTCTCTCCAGCTGCAGTTGTGCAATTTTTTTTCTTTTCCGCCCTTCTTAAATATGTTATCACAGAGGCGCTACCACCGCCGCTGATGGGCTCAGCCTTGGGCAGTGGCAGGTCCATCTTGGAGCCATCTGGCATTGGCTTTATCAGACATAGGGGAAGCTTCTAGCAGCTTCTCACAGAAGCCACCCCTGTAGACCCCCGCTACCAAAACCTTGCCATGCAAACTAGAGTGGCAAGGATATTCCCTCTTTTCTTCAAGGAGACCAGGAAGAAGCTGTTGCTTGGGTCAGCCAGGGTGAGGCTGTCTGAATGCCCCATGTGTCAATTAGTGGATGTTTCTCAAACTTTGGAAGTAGTCACTCTGTCCTGTGGATTGCAAGCACTGGCAGAGGGGAGGAACGCCTAGGCTGGGAGATGGGAAAAGGGGCAAATACAGCGTCCTGTCTTGGGGAAAGAACATGTGCATGTATATGTGCACAGTGAGGGCATGGCTGGCTTGTATCACAGTCCGTGGCTGGCAGAGGCTGAGATGCAGCTGAATTGTAAGGTGGTACGGGAAGAACAGAGTAGGGGAGGGACTGAGCGAGAAAAACTTGGTTCTGGGAGAGGTGGCTTTGAAGCTCTGACAGAGCTAGCAATACCTGTTTCACTTTAGAAAACCCGAAGGAAGCTGGAGGATGCGTTGCAGCGGCTGGAGTGTTTGTACGAGAAGCTCCGCGAGCAGGCGGTAAGTAGATGCCACTATTCCCTGTGGTCCAGCCAAGTTCCTGATCCCACCTTTGCACTGGGTTGTGGGCCTTGGTGTCTGTCCCAGTGTTACCAGCACGTATCTTCTTGAGAAAGCCAGGGGAGTGCCAAACCTTATAATGCACCTTGAATCCAGCCAGCCTTATCTCTTCTTCCTTAACCTTGGCCCAGACATAGTGTAAGAAAAAGCTGGGGAGGTATTTGCAGAATGCTTTTATCCCCAGGAAGTATACTGGCATATAGACAGGTTCCAGATGGGAAGGGGCAATTGGAGGTAGTTGTTAAGTGTGAACCTAGTGTAACCTCTGGCTTAGAAAACTCTGAAGCTGCTGACGCCAATTGCTGGAGGGGTAGCTATCAAGGGAAGAATCCTTTTAACATACACCCTTTCCCTGAGTGTCCATATTAGGCCTGAACAGAGACAGGATTCTGTGCTAGATGGACCTTTGACCTCCTCAGATACATCAGATACTCCATTAATGCTGCCATGTCATTACTTAGGACCTGCACTTACTGTAACCCAGCCTGGGTATTAGACTAATGTTTGTTGTAGGCTGGGAAACCGAGGGAGGAAGCAGGCTATCCTTCCTGCCAGTGCTTGACTGTATGTAGGTGCTGTTTGGTGAGGATGAGGTGGAGAACAGGAGGGAAGGGTGTGGAGGGAGGGGGGGCCTGTGTTACAGTGCTGAGCAATCTGACTCATTTCTGCTTTCTCCCTACAGCTCTCTCCAACCATCCTCATGGGTCTCCATGAAATTGCCCGCTGCATTGAGGCTAGGAACTACCAACAGGGTCTCCTGGTTCACACCCAAGTGGTGAGCAGCAGCAGTTTCAGTGAGGTGTCTGGTTTCATGCCCATCCTGAAAGTCCTCATGACCGTTGCTGGCAAGCTGAACGTGTAGAGTGTGGAGCAGCTGGAACAGTGCAGAGCTGGTGGACTCCCTCACCTGTTGATGTGCTGCAGGTTGTGGACTCTCCTTCTGACTCTGGAGAAATAAGTCTGTGCCAGTGCCTGGAAGTGTGCTGGGCCAGCACGCCTGGCCCCATCCTCTCTCCAGGCAGCCCACTGGTGCCTGGGGCTCCTGGAGACTGTTCTTTCTCTCTCTTCTTTCTTACTAGTCTGAGGCTGCTTCCCAGCCAAGGGATCTCAATTTCAGGCTGTCCAGGTTGCACAGATATCTTCCCTCTTCCCTATATCCCTGACACAAAGGGGAAATTCCTTCCCTCCCAGGCTGATGTTGCTTTTTTTTTTTTTAAGGAGACAAACAGGGCTGGCACCTGCAGCGCCACCAGACAGAAGAGCCTCAGGCTCTATTCCCTGCTGCAGTGTAAACTGCCTGAGTGATAGCTGGGCTCCCTTGGGACCTAAGCTGGGGTGTCCCTGCTCTGTTGGGCTGCAGTGAGGATTTCTGCTCTGGTTCTTCCTTTCTCTTCATTTTCATCTTTGACTCACCCTCTCACCCCTCTGCACCCTTCTACAACTAGGGCTAACTACCAGCCTGCTCTGGGCTAGCTTTGGTTATCTCTCCCTTCTTCACCCAGACCTCTCTTTTCACAGTTGAGTCTCCTGTTCACCCTTTGTCCCCCATCCATTATATCTTTTCCCCCATAAGCTGCAGGCTTGAGTCTTTTATGTTTCAGGCCCAGGGCTGATTCCCCCTTCCAGCTCCTGGGACTCTCCCATTCAGGAATGCTAGCAGGTTAGACTGCTCTGTGTGCTCCTCCCCAGAGCTGGTCGCATCCTGGTTTGGGGCTAAAAGCTGCCCTCTGTGGCTCCTGGGCTTTTTCACTTCCTTTATGTTAGCACAGTTGACCTTTTGCCCACTGGTGTTATCTAAAGGCTTCCTACATTGGGCTTTTCAGACAGTCTAGGGCCTTTAAGAGCAGCAGGCGTTGTTCAGGTCCCATAAAGAATCTCCTCAAGCTACTCTCAAGCCCAGATTGAGCGGGGGGAGACAGCTCATTGCTCCAAGTGTGGCGCGTTCATTCTGCCTACAGTAACAGATACGTGCAAAGGTGGTTCTTGAAGGCCCCTTGTCACTATGGTGGTAGGAATATGCTGCAGGAGGTGATGCTGTCAAGTCTCAAGGATACGGCTGTGCTGAGGCTTTTCATCACTGTGGCACTTCCTCTGGGGTAAAATAGATGAATGAAGCATATCTGTCCTGGGGAAGAAGTCTGGGAAGGCAGATGGGATTTTAGGGCACATCTGTGTATGTCTGTCTTTCCCTTTCTTCCTCCCTTCTTGCTTTCCTCTCTCTTTACCCTCTTTCATGCTAACCAGGCAGCGTAATTGTTGGGCCCTAGCTGGGAGCAAGGCTTCTTCCCAATGTTTGGCTGCAGCTAGCCCCTGCTTGCTCTGCTTGCTGCTTGAGTGATAATGCCATCGTGGGCCTGTGGTTCAGTGACTTACATGAATCAGCCTGCTCTACCATGAGACTTAGGAGGGAGGAGAATCACAGAAGGGAGGGAGAGGACATGTCTCATTCTCTCCTTTCCAGGTCAAAGTGCCTCCTTGTTGCTGCTGTGTTGTTTCTATTGCTGCGGTTTGATGCACTGAGAGATTACAGAACAGTGAAATAAAAGCTGTGTTTTGTGATGCTGCTAGCTTTTTTTCATAGGCTTGTCACCTCTGGCTACAGGGGACTTCCCTCAGTCTGCAGGGCCACCCACTGAGATCTGAGTTCTCAGCTTTGGTGAGGAGGAAAATTGAGAACGATGTGGGGCAAACCAGATTCTGGGCTCTGCTGGTGTGGGCAGCAACTGTCCTGATCTGGTGAGACCTCCGGCCTTACCCACTCCCTAAGGCTGCAGGGTCAGAGAACTGATCTTCTCCAGATCACCCGCCTCAGTTGTGACTGTTCGTCTGCATCAGACACAAGAAGGTCCCTGGGATGTCTGAGGTTCTCTTGGGAAATCACAGCAGTGTTGGGGATTCTACACTCGGCATCGAGAGTTGGAAGTATGTTAGTAAGTAAACAGAGAGCCCTTGATGAGATCCTCTCCTGTTGGAAATCAGCGTTACACCACTGAAGCCATGCCACTTAAAATAGGATGAGGATCTGACCTGTGTGGAAATCAGATTTATACCATTGAATTGTCAGTTCGTACCATTAGTTAATAAGTTCTGAATCTGTTGGCCGATTTCATTTAAGCTTTTAAGGAGGTAAGAAGGCTGAAGTGAAACATCGGTATTGAGATAAAGTCGGTGGGAGTCAAACTAGCTTCTGCCAAAAGACTGATGTAATCTCAAAAAATTTTTGTTTTCTTTTTGCTGTCAGCTGGCTAGCTAGTATATATGTACAGGCCAGCCAGTCAGCACACATGAAACTCTGAAATACACCAGACTATTACCTGGCTTGTGGTTGAAGGACTTGGGAGGAAGTAAAGGTTGAGACAAATTGTTTGGATGGGGAAGATTTGAGGGGCCATTGCTGGGAAGGGAGCAGGGTTTATGAGAGTTCTGGGGTGTTATGGACACAGCACATGCATTCAGGGAAAACCAGCCTTTGTTAGTTCTGCTGCTGGGAGAGGCAAACACCAAGTGCAAGGGACTCTTGCAGAGCTTTTGCAGCCCGGTCTGGGAGCAGTTAGCAATCAGTCCGGCCTCCCAGCTGTCCCCCATCAGGGAGATGCAAGCTGATTTTCAAAGGCAGCACTTTCGTGTTATGACCCCTTCTGATGCTGTACAAGTGAGCAGGTAGCCCTGGAGGCATACATTTGTTTAACGAGTATATAAGTAAAGTCCTAGCTTTCTGAGATCATTTAACAAGCCTGGTATTCCTTAGATTCTGCCTTTCTGGATCCAGTTATAGTACCCCGTGCAGTCCAGCCCCTCTCTTTCTTTAACTCAGGCCACTTGTACCACTGAGAAATAAGCATGGGTTTTCTATGTATTTCTCAGATGCATTTGACTTTAGTTCCCCCCAGCATGCACAGCTCCCGCTACCCGTGGACTCATGCAGAGACTGGCCATTTATCCTGCCTGTGCTGCGAGTCCTTCCTGCTCGCCCCTTTGTCCCACCGTTGCTCAGTTTTGCTTCAGGTTTACCCCGGCGAGCAACATCTCTAAAACTCTTGGTAGGGAAACCAGGCAGGGGGAAGTGAGGTGACCCACGCAAGAGTCTTTGAGAGGCTCGTGGCAGAAGCCCCGTCTCTGTGGCCCTGGTGTGATACATGGCCTCACAAGCCCCACTGGAAAGTGCTTCTCCATGTAGAGCACTATCTCTGCTGGCTGGTAACAGCTTCTGGTCTACGGGCAGCAGCTCCTCGGTGTTGCCTCCTCCCATGTGGGCACATGCTACCACAGCATCCCTGCGCTGCTGGGCAGAGAAAGCGTTTTCTGTTGGGTGAGAAGGCCTTTGGGTCGACAAAGAATTGGGGGGCGGTAGGAAAGGATCCCTGGGCACAGAGAACAGAGCTCTAATCCTGTTGCAGATAACATCATGTCTGCAGGCTAGGCTTGTGTGTGTTTGGGGGAGCTGGAGGGGCAGAGATTGTTAGGCAGTATTTGTTTGTAAAGCCACTTGCTCTGAAGATAATGCTTGCACTAACTTCTATTGAGGGAGCAGTGTGAGTCCCCACAAAGTCCTTTCCCAAAGTGTCTTTGAAGCCAAGAACCCATTGAAAGGAAGAAAGGCCAAGAGAGGGGATTAGTTTGTTCAGCAGCTGTGAATTTCAGTGGGAGGCTGATGAACTCCAAAGTCTTTGTTGAGATTTTTTTTGTAAGGAGCCCTGCTGGAGGGAGAGACCCACACGGGGGCCGCGGCCTTAGACAAGAAGGAATCCGAAGCGGCAGGGAGCTGTAAACGGGCCACAAGGACTTTTCCCAAACACTTTTCGGAAAAGGTGTTGTGAAGAGAGCGGAGGGGGATTAGCATGTGAAATGACACTTTCCATTGACTCCACAGAGGGGAGGGGAAAAGGGCTGGCTGGCTGATTCATTAGCATTTTGTTCCCTTCTCTATTCTGCTCCCCCAGCAGCCCCCCTCCCCTCGCTCCCCTCCTCCCTGAGCCCTCTAAAGAGGTTTGGATTGGAAAAGGGAGCAGGGGGGCTGCCTGTTTGTGTGTCATCTGGGCGAAGGTGACCACCTGGGAAGCTGAATGTAAATATTTCTCCTCTGAGGAATGCGCCTTCATTAAACCGAAATGAATACATGGAAGCATCCAATCCTGCTGCACAATGGCAGCAGTGCCTTTACCGCTAAGGGCTCCTTGTGCCTGGGAGGGGGGACCCCGACCCGCTGCTGAGGTCAGCACATTTTGCAGCTGCGGTCTCGCCATTTTCTCCCAGAGAAAGAAGCCTGCGGTGGTGGGGCTCCCGCTTGTAATGCTCCCTGCATGTCCCCTTCACCAGCAAGCGTCATGTGCCCAGCAGGCACGTCCTGGGCTGTGCCATGGCCTTCGTGGGGCAGTTGTGTGGGGCAATACTGTCAGCCGGTGAGGGACGGGGTAGCACAGCCTGCCATGTGCTGGGGAGGAAGTGGGAAACGGCTTCCACATCTTCTCCTTTTCTTACGCTTCCAGCTGGCTGTGGAATGGGGGACACAGAGGGACAAAGGGGTAGAAGCTGTCCCCTCTGCCGTGCAGTGGTCCCCAAGCCAGCCCGTGCTGGAGCTTTCCCTGCTGGGTGAGAGGCTCTTGCCCCGTCTTTGCTCTCCTGCCCAAGGATGCATCCCTGCCGCAGGGAGATGGAGGAACTGCTGGCAGAGATGCAAGGGAGACCAAGGGCAGGGTCACTGTATTAATAATATTTGCATCTTTGTGCAAACAGCTGGCAGTTCATGTGTGAAGTGGAAGTGTTTCAGCTTTCCCTGAGAATGGGCCACGATTGTTTCTTGCAATTTTTGAAGGGCTAGATTCTTGCTTGACGTGAATGCTCTTGCTCTGGTGAGACCCGAAGCTTGCTGTAGGTCTAAATTCCTACCCCCAATGAAGTAGCCCTGGGACTGAGGGGGTATTTGATAACTAAGAGACACACACAGACTGCTGAGTCTGTATTAACGTATCGTCTCTGAAATGGGCAACTGGGCCCCTGTCTGCCTGCCTCCCATCCCCTTTCTCCCTGTCAGCTGCATTGGAGTTGGAAGCAACCTCAAGCAAGCTCAAGGAGAGAGCAGGCCCGTTCCCCTCCTAGTAGGAGCTGAGGTGGTGCTGTGTGGAGGGAACTGGTCAGCTCTTGTGCTCAACAGATGGGTAAGCAGCTGGGTTTTAGTCTCCACAACTGTAACTACATGCAATTGGATGAAAAAAACCACCCAACTTAAACACAACAGCGTTTTGCAA